ATTATTATTATTTTAATAGTCATTTTTTTTCTATGTCTATGTTAGAGATAAGAGTCACGTCTTCTGCTCTTTCCAATCGTATTAAATGCAGATGGGAGTCGTTCAACAATGGAAATGAAGTCTTTATATAACCAATGATGAAGCCGGTGTACAAGCGATGATAAATTTAAATATAACATTGTTGTTATATTTAATTAATATTATTATTGTTGCTTTTTATTAAACACCCCGTGTTAATACAAGCATCCACAATGAGAAGAAAACAGCGCAAAACTAGAAATCAGAAATAAAACAACCATTTTTCACCCGACCTTGAATTCACACCCACCATCTTAAGAACCCGGTTTTCTGAGACGTCGTTTTAACCAGTTCGGTCACGGAAGTTAACGGCTATTAAAGAGACCTCAAATCAAGCCATTCTGAGACACACTCCTGAAAATAATGTTTTATATATTAATAAATATACAGAAGTACATATATTATAAATTAATAACATTATACAGGATGTTCATAAACGTCGTGTGAAATTTAAAATACTTGTAGCTTTGTAACTATACATGATATGAAGATGATATTTATGGACACCGTGTATAAATGAGAACAAATTATAATATAAATAAGGTAAGGAAGAGGAAAAACATCATGATCACTAGCCCAGAGAGCCCAAGCAGTCTTTATATATATATATATATATATATATATATATATATATATATAAGTAACGAAAATCTTGGTAATCCGAATAGATAATCCCAAGGAGGATGAAATCCTGAGAGCTCAATGTTAAGTCAGAGCGAATAATTTAATTTAAAGAAAAACAGACAACTTTAAGGCTCCATTTGTCATAATTTATTTCACCAGAGAATTTTATTGTTCTCTGGGTCTTCAGACTTCACTTTCAAAAGGTGAAACGAAAAATGAATTTAAAATTTACACTTTTGACGGGCAGTATTAAGCTTATATCAGTTGACATAGAAATTGGTGAGGAATAGTGTAAGATCGAGTTTAGAGAGGGAAGGGGGAGTTTTAAAATTTATTTTTATTTTATATTTTACATATATATATATATATATATATATATATACAAATGTAAACAGAAGAAAACGAATATAAATTCAAACGTTCATAAGATTAAATTAAAACAGAGCTCAATACAAAAAGTAGAGCGATAGTTATTTATTATAAGTTACTACATTCAAACATACATGTTACCACTACAAAATGCATATTTGTTTCTGATGGCCAATTTAGGCATCTCATTGGGTGATCAAAGATAGTTATAAACGATTTTGTACTGCTACTAATAAATAATAATTTTTGTACTGCTACTAATAATAATAATTTTTAAAAAATTAAAAAGACATAAGAAAAATTTCCATAAAAAGGAAAAGAAAGAAATACACAAGTTAAAACAGAAAAAAAAAAGAAAAGGTCAAGAAAACAAAACAAAAGGAAAAGAAAAGAAGAAAGAAAAATAGAAAGTGGTGGGAAAAGAAAGACATAAGAAATCATTCCTTCTCCGAAAGAAAAGGAAAGAAGAAGAGAAGTAAAAGAAAAGAAGAAGGAAAAACAGAAGTTGTTGAGAATAATTTAGCCAATGAAAAAAACGTTAACGTTGAGAGGAATGTAGTAGAGAAAGAATTCAAAATTTAACCGGAAATGATGGCAACTAGATAGAAAATATTTTAGATACAATGTAGCAGTTCGTGAGCCGTTTGGCGTTTTGAAAGAAGACACATATTTTAACAAAATTCAACATAGTACGTAAATAAAACACACTTTAAGAAGTAAAACATATATATATATGTGTGTGTGTGTGTGTGTGTGTGTGTGTGTGTGTATTAATATATTTTTCATGTGGACATGTGAAAAGTTATGTTTACCCAACTAAATCTAAATCTTTTGAGGAATTGCAAGCTAGGATAATTGATGTGATTGAAGGTATTACTGAAAGAGATTTATCTTTGTTTTTCCTAAGTGCTTTCTAAATAATTTTATTCTGGAACATGCTTATGTGTGTTTCAATAACGGAACAGCTCTGTTGGCGGTGTCAAGTATATACCAATTTTATACCTTGCACAGGGCTAAGAATATTAAGGTGGGGCAATTCGTGTATGGCGACCAGTGTTTGCCTAAAAATACAAGTATAAACACAACCATATTCAAGTATATACCGACCACTGTTTGCCAACAGACTCAATATATTGCCCTACCAACTTACTCTATCACATCTTCAATGGGAAAGAATCTATCTAAATTCAACATAAAATTTGTTACTACTACATCTAAAACAATAAAAGACTTAGTCAATACTAAATAAAACAATAAATTAAAATCTGAAAGCTGAATTTACTCGATTGCCCGTAACACTCGTCACAAAAATACATGGGAGAAACCTCATGGAATCTAAAGGAATCTAGGAATCTAAAACGATTATATGAATACAAAATGGACAAAGCAATGCACCAAATATATTGGTTGCCCACCGTAACGAAACTGACCACAATTTTAACATAAAAAAATGTTCCTCTGATCAAAGGAGAAAACAATTCACTAAGACGAGTCTAGAGAGTGCCTTGATTGCAAGGTTATCTACAGGAAAATTTGTGTCCAGGTTCTTACAACATTTCACCATTCCTAGCAGAACTTCTATTATCATAGTGTTGGATATCTACTAACAAAAGTGATGGGGGGAAAAAAGGAAAAAGAATCCAAATGAAATCGGCGAGATTAAAATAAAAATAAAAAGATTTAATTTAAAATTCCCAGCATCCGTCGTTCGTGCGCATGTGTAGGAGCACCAACAAAACAAATTTAGTCTGATGATGTCCTAAAGGATGAAACACTTTGTCATTCATTTTTCCCTACAGACTCAAGTATAAACACGACTAGTTTTTAACTTTAGACTTTATGATATATATATATATATATATATATATATATATATATATATATATGGGGTGTAAGAAGTTTAATCTGTTGCATGAATAAAAAGTAATTGCATTGAAAATCCAAACTAAAGACATCGAAAGACATCTGAGCTGCATTGGTGAAAGAAACCGCCGCTATGAGGCATCTATAAGGCAAACTAGATTTTCTTTCTAGCAGCGACTGGTGCGATTTCGGCAATTCTTACTCTTCCCTCGGTCCTTCGCATGACCTCGTCTTTTATGAGAGAAATAGAACCTCATTCTGGCTTCTTTGATTGGTGAATGATTGCACGATGTATTTACAATGGCCAATCAAATACAACCTAGTGAATTTCCAGCAGTAAATGAAGATTAAAGAATTTAAACTTAAAAATCAGCAGAAGTATACTTAACATCAGGAAGAGACAGTTGAAATTTCTATGGCAAATAATGAGGAAAGGCGGGCTGGAAATTATGATACTTACAGAAGAGATAAAAGGCAAGAGGGACAGAGCAAAACAACGCATAACATAATTAGTGAGCTTGATTAAATGGATGGCAAGACATAGTTTAGGAGAAATAACAAAAAGACAAAATTTATTAAGAGCTACAAAGGACAGGAAATTGTGTGGAGCCATGATCGCCTACGTCGTGAGGATAGTCCCATTGCCGGTAATCTTTAAATTAAACCTTCTAATTTAACTTCACTTATGATCCTGAAAAATTCCCCCACTCTCAAAATGTTTTCAAAATAAGTCGCTAAATTTTGAGCCAGGATGATTTCCAGTAACACCTGTCAGCAGAACTGCTTGTCAATATTTCTGAATTTTTCAACTGCTAGTTCGCCTTATGTTCGTAATGACTAATTCACTAATCAAAAAAATCATATAACTCTTAAAATTCAATAGAATCCGAAGACAGAGACATAACTGAGAGATGAAATGTAATTCTTCTACATGTGGACAGATACTACACTTTCATATGTCTATATCTCTGAGATGAGGTATTATGATTACTTTCATTATTCACATTACTCGGACTGTTATCCACATCTTCATTGCCATATTTACAACGTTTCGGCCGTTGTACGCTCCGGCTTCTTCAGGTGATTGGAATTTCGAATCGAACCCTTTATTTCGTCCACCAGAGTAGATTGTTCTAGTTCCACGTGACATGCCTCTTTCGGATGTCTCAGTCATTTCCCTTTAACTCAATTCTCCAAGTTTTGGTTCACTGGATGTAACCTCAATTACACATGGCCCAGTGGATAATGACGTTGGTTAGATCTAGCGACTAGACGCAAAGAGTTGTGAGTTCAATACCAGGCCACAGCAGTGGCGAACCAAAATTTGGAGAGTTGAGTTAAAGGGAAATAACTGAGACATCTGGAAGAATTATGCCACGTGGAACTAGAAAAATCTACCTTGGTGGACGAAATAAAGGATTCGATTCGAAATTCCAATCACCTGAAGAAGGCCGGAGTGTACAACGTTGTGAATATGGCAATGGATATAATTGTAATGAAAATAGTACAAGTAACTAAACTTTGATCCCAGCCAAAATGCCGAAAACAATTGCGACCTCGATAAACATGCCATTTTCCAAATGCAGAGTATCGAACGACGGAAACCGAGTAAGACAATCGTCAATCGTCACCATGAATAAAATAACATCGTAAGCTGAATTATTTTTTAATTATTATTAATAGAAATGTTCGTAAGACGGGGATTTGGATAGTTATTATTATTATTATTATTATTATTATTATTATTGAATGTTTATACCAAAAGTTTACATCGGAGATTGAGTGAAAGCCAAACCCAATACACAATACATCAAACATTATTAGATTGATTGAATTCAAAGTGACCGCTTCTTTTCAGCTTTAACTCATAAGACGCTTATATATTTCGTCTTCCGTAATTTTTAGTAATATTTAAATTCATTGAAGATGAAAATGGAAACCTGGTAAAAGATGGAAACCTGGTAAAAGTTCACTGGTGAATATTTGGTAGCGAAGTTCCAAAAGTATTCTTTGGTACCTTGACTCCATGAATTTAAGAGTAGACCTAGATTAGCTAATAGGTCGCATCATGTTATATACCGTACAGATAGATAGATAGATAGATAGATAGATAGATAGATAGATAGATAGATACTGAATTGGCACAGATAGATAGATAGATAGATAGATAGATAGATAGATGTTGAACAGATTGACATAATTATATAAATCTGAACAGATTGAGATAGATAGATAGATAGATAGATAGAGAGAGAGAGAGAGATAACAACCACCTTTCGTTGAAAATAATACATTTATATTCTACAAGAAATAGTTATTTTTCAACATAATCTCATTCTTTTTTTGATAAATGCAGGAAAATAGCAACCATTTCTAAAGCGTACAAATATTCAGCAGGGCAAGGAAATATATGAACAGATAAAACAGATAGATCTGAACAGATCGAGATAGATAGATAGATAGATAGATAGATAGATAGATAGATAGATAGATAGATATGAACAGACTGAGATAGTTATATAAATCTGAACAAATATTCAGCAATGCAAGGAAATATATAAACAGGTAGAACAGATAGATGTGAACAGATCAAGATAGATATATAGATCTGAACATAGATCTGAACATAGATAGATAGATAGATAGATACTAAATTGAGATAGATAGATAGATAGATAGATAGATAGATAGATAGATAGATAGATATTAACTTGGTATAGTGTTATATACCGTACCTATGAGCACTTAGGGTATGTCCCAAATCCTCATAAATACGCTGGTCCCTATTGTAAGTGGGAGTAATATGTTGTCTAAGTAGTTCACCACTAGCAGTGGTTTACCTACTTCGCGCCGCTGGCGAGTATTGTATTTTGTTGATGTTATAAAGATGACCATTCCATTTCCAACCTCCGTTTTGGTTATTCATCATTCAGTAACCCTTTCTAGGTTACAATGCACCATTTTACTGTTGGAACTGTAAGTCCTCTTCTAATAATTTATTTTTCTCTCAATGGAACTTTCTTTCGAACTTTTGCTTTCCTGTAAACTACGTTTTTCAAAAGTTTAGATGAAACGTCAATCGTCATCTTCTAATTCTGTCGTATTTTCTCATTTTGTTTCACTCCCTTGCGTCTTAATGGCTTTATGTCCTTGTCTGGAGTGAAATGATCAAAAAAAAAAAAAAAACATTTTGAAGAACCATTTTCCAAGAGTCTAGATGAGCGATGAAATAAAAATGAGAAATGAAGAAAAACAAAAATTACTAAACCAAAATTTAAACAACCTTCCAGAATGAACGCAAAGAATCCTTTAAAGACGTCTTTTGTGTATGTTTTCCCTTTCTTCCACTCCTTTTCTTTAAGGAATTAAAACCAACCTTTTTTTTTTATTATTTTTTTTTTTTTTTTTTTTTTTTTTTTTTCAGAATGGAAACCCAGCATAACTCGTTTCAGAAAATACCAAAAATCTTCAGTTTGGTGTTTCCTGAAAAACAAATTCTTTGAATTTGTTAAACGGGCCGCCTCTGTTTCGCTCGATAATTAATTACAAATTGCTTTTTTTCGACGGGCTGAATAAATATGTAAACACAAATTGCCCAACGATCGCGTTTCAAGCAGGAGCCAATGACAGGGGAAGAAGAACGAAGGACGACGGTCCAATGGTGAGGCGTCGTCCCGTCACTACAAGGGGTTAAGAAGAGGATTAGGACCAATAATGGGGTCACAAATTCTCCCCCGAAAACCGCCGACGTTTACTGGCACATCAGAGTGTCGGAAGCTGCTGGAGGTAAGACAAATGAGACGAGAAAATGGACGGTAACTTCCAGTTTGGAAGGGGTGCGGTGGAGCACTGGGGAGAAACACGGAAGAACGGAAGGCTTTATAGAGTCTTTTTCTATATATATATATATATATATATATATATATTCTTTTTTTAATGACCAAGAGAAATCTTTTTGCGAGTTTGTTTTCTCTTTTCTCGGTGATGGACGCCGGGTGTGCTTAAAAGCGCCAGGATTAAAAAGACAGCGACGAGAAAATTGGTCGAACATATGTGAAGCAAAAAAAAAAAAATTCGTCACACTTTGAAGTTGCTATCCGGATTTTACAAGTAGATAAATGTACTTGTTGCCAGTAATAAAAAATATCAAATAGCATATTAATTCAACATGTTTAAAACAAATATAAAAACAATGACAGCTTGAGACTTGTGTTACTATTATATCGAGAGACACATATTGAATACATTACATTAATTGATTTCTTATTGATTTTAATTCGATAAGAATTAACTGTAAGTATCGTAATCCATTTATTTATCGTTTTCATGGATATTCATTGATCTCATTCTCATTTTATACAGAAGCAATGGATTCAATATTCATTAACATATCTTTTCCCTGAGATAGAGCCCTTCCTCAACTCCGTCTGATGCAAGACCATATATAAATATTACTGTTTCCTCATAGATTTTTCAGATGGACCTCAGAGACAATGAATTTTTCAACAGGATCTCAAAGACAATACATTTTTCAACGGGCCTCAAAGACAATATATTTTTCAATAGGTCCTCAAACGACAATACATTTTTCAACAGGGCCTCAAAGAAAATACATTTTTCAGTAAAGCCCCAAAGACAATTCATTTTGAAACTGGTCCTCAAAAACAATGAATTTTCAACAGAGCCTCAAAGACATTTTTCAGCAAAGCCTCAAAGACAATACATTTTTCAGCAAAGCCTCAAAGACAATACATTTTTCAGCAAAGCCTCAAAGACAATACATTTTTCAGCAAAGCCTTAAAGACGATACTTTTTTCAACAGAGCGTCAAAGACATTTTGCAACTGGTCCTCAAAAACAATACATTTTTCAATAAGGCATCAAAAACAATGCATTTTTCAATAGGGTGTCAGTAGCAATACATTTTTCACTTGGCTCTCAAAGAAAATACATTTTTCAATACGAATGGTAAGAACTTAAACATTATTTGACAGTACTGTTCAAAACCAGTTTAAGCGTTTTAAAATGGTGATTTGTTGCATGAAATTAACCCCACATGGTAAGAATGCAGAATAACATCCCTCGCTGCACACGCAGGAGATTGAGATTTGTGTTGCTATCATATCGAGAGACAAAAACATACGAAAACATCATGTAAATAATATAAATAGCAGATCTTTTCACTGAAATTCCCTTTTATAGACATTCCAGTTTTTATTTCTTTTTATATACTGAAAATTTCGACCTATACATAAAATCCTTCATTACCCAACTCAGAATATCATTTTCACCAAACCCTGTGGAATTACACAAATCTGAGAACCGTTGTTCTAACTTATTTTCACTCTAAGAATGATATATGCTCTTGACCAGCTGTGAAGACTTTCGGATCCTCATTATATTTGAGACTTTGAAGTTGTGTGTCGCAAACCTGACGTTTTGATTGCTGTCATCGAGTCCACAACATACACAGCGACGCAGTTTGTTAATGAAATCCTGTTCTTCGCATTTGCGATCGAGCTTCATCTGTATTCAGTCAAGACATGTAATTGATTTTTATTATCGTGCAGGATATATTTCTCATCACAAGCCAATAATCGATTTACACTTGGTAAATTCTTTTCAGATAAGTTGCAAGCATATTTTGAACGTATGTGTTTACAGCACCTGGTCACCTATGCACGTACTGACCAAGCTTGACGACGATTCGAGAACCGGTGCATTTAACCTAATATGGCCGACTTGATGATAGCGTAACGGCTATCGGTACGGAAAGTGAAATCGACAAGCCGAGTTCAAATTCCAGCCAAGTCTATTGTACTCGCTTTAGCACAAACGGCTGTGAAAAGTCTCGAATCCATCTTTTGTCCCGCCCCTCAGCTCCGGGTTAAATAGCAGGGTAGACTTTCAAGTTCCATAAGTGATACAATGTTGGGTGATCATGTCTTTTTCGATTTATGACTCACAAGGTAAACTGGTTGCCAACCAAGGACATAGGATGCACTCTATCCTGCTATTTAACCCATAGCGTGTGGTGAAGAGATGGGTTCCTATCTTTACAAAGTAACGAATGTAAAGAACCCTGCTGGAATTCGAACGGCTCTCCTTCCGAGCATTTATCCATTATACCACACCGCACATCCATATATATATATATATATATATATATATATATATATTATAAATTAATTGATTTAAAATATGTTTTTTTTCGCTACACAGTTCCAACCATGTTTCAAAAATAGAAGCTAAAAACCCCGAATTTAATTTTGCAATTAAATTAAAAGCATTAGTTCCATTTCATCTTCAAGCGAATTTTACATTGAGCACTATTTTGTAAAAATAAAAATATCATAAGAACACCAGATTTTATATCTTACTGTTCTTTTCTTTTTTATATATATATATATATATATATATATATATATATATATATGAAGAGTGAAATCATGGAGACGAGTTCAAATTCCGGTCGATTCTCTTTCGTTCACTTCGTGCTAATCTCCTTGAAAAGGCCTAAGTCCACTTTCCTCCAGCTACGGGTTCATTAGTGCTGGCTAGGCTCTCCATGAGTAGCGACCAGTCTAGGCGAAGGGCAATATTTAATTTAAACTTGAGAAGTGATGTTTGGCGACTTCATACCACACTGTATATCCTTTCCCTGTAATTAGTTCTTCTAAAAAGTGTAACTGCTTCTGCACAAGCCCTCACCACCATTACCAAATCATTTATGAACTGTTAGGCTTTCATATGGCAGGGGCGGTGTAATGGTTAACAAGCTTGTCTCGCTAGAACAATTACCACTGAGTAGAGAGTTCAATTCTAACTAGGTACCCCCTACTTTCGGCCTTGTGTCACATCTAAGCTTGGGAAATCATTAGGGCACCTCGAGGTGGTGTCATGGTTAGCAAGCTTGTCTCGCTAGAACAATTACCACTGAGTAGAGAGTTCAATTCTAACTAGGGATCCTCACTGGGTACCCCCTACTTTCGGCCTTGTGCCACATCTAAGCTACGCTTGGAAAATCATTATGTCAAAACTGGCAGAAGAGCCCAAGAGATATACAAACAGGATGTTCATAAAGTCTGTGTGCAATTTAAAGCACTTGCAGTTTTATAACTATATATATTTAAAAAGAATAAGAAAGCATGATATGTCTACATATTTTTGTCTTCGGAAGATGTATTTATTATTTGTTATATATATTATTTAATATTTATTTATTATTTATATTTATGTTTTTATATAATTTATTTATATTTATTTATTATTTATTTTTTATATATTTATATATTATTTATGATTTATTTATTATTTGTTATATATATTATTTTTTTTACAATTTCTTTAAACTTCAAAATTACTTCCTTTTTATTTTAACAGAATTGCTGTTGACCCATGGCTTCGCTCGAAGAGAAATTAATCTCCGTTCTTTGGTTGGCTGAGCTAATATCTACCGTTGCTGCCCAAAGAAGATTTAGAAGTCATTGCAATAAAGAAACACCACACAGGAATTCCATAACTAATTGAATGAACAACATTTAAAGAAACGGGTTCTGTAAATGATAAGTCACGGTCTGGTAAGATCATGTATTAGGGAAGAAACTGTAGCATCTGTATAACAAGTATTTGTAGGAAGTCCAAGAAAAACCTGTTGAAAATTAACAACACGAATAACAAATTTAAATAATTCTTTCTTATACATTTTAAAGATGGTTTCTTTCATTTATAATTACAAAGCTACAAGTATTTTTAAATTGAACATGAACATTATGGACACCCTATATTTATATATATATATATAGATAGATAGATAGATAGATAGATAGATAGATAGATAGAGAGGGAGGGACAGAGAGAGAGAGAGATAAAAGTGGACATTGAAGTCAACACCCAGATACGACAGCCTGTTTCATGCTTAGCATAAAACAAACTGTCGCCTCTGGGTGTTAACTTCAATGTCCACTTTTATATTTACATACGCTATATCCCTGATATTGAGCACTTTAACCCATAAATATACCATACCTTAAAACTATATTTTATCATATATATATATATATATATATATATATGTGTGTGTGTGTGTGTGTGTGTGTGTGTGTGTGTGTGTGTGTGTGAGAGAGAGAGAGAGAGAGATTTACGAGTATAATGTTTTAATATTTTCTTATTGAAAGCACATACAGAAAAGAATAGATGGAAAGTAACTTTCTTTTACTCTTTTTTCTTTCATTTTTCTGTTCTCTCTCTCTCTCTCTCTCTCTCTCTCTCTCTCTTTCTCTTTGTTTTCTTTCTTGTTCTTTCCTTTCTCTTTTTCCGGTTAACTCAGCCCTTCCTTCTCTTTCTATTTTTTCTTCTGCTTATTACTATTATTGTTGCTGCTTTTATTGCTATAATTGTTACGACCCTTCCTCTTCTATCCTCTACTCCTACTCCTTTTCTCCACATTACCTTCTTTCTTCCTTTCTTTCTTTCTGTCCCTATCCAAGAAATCCGTACACTATCCTTTCTCTCTCTCTCTCTCTCTCTCTCTCTCTCTCTCTCTCTCTCTCTCTCTCTTTTTTAACCTCCGCCTCTTAATTTCTGAGCTCCTTCCACGCTTATCTTCCATCGTGTAAAATATTCCCACACAATGAGAGACTCCCGTGTTCAAATACGTTAAAGCGCATGCGTAGGTTGACACACATGTTCGCATGCACGCGCACACACAAATACACACACACAAATACGCACGCAAGCATGCAAGAAGAAAACTACACTTCTTTCATTCCATTTCGAAATTACTTCCGGCTCTTCTAATATTTCCCAAGTTTTCCAACACATACATGTTTGTTTTTCTTTCATTTGACCAAATTTCCTTCCAGTCCTAATTATTTTTTTTATTCGTTTTAGTTTAGATTTTAAATTTTCTTTCTTTTCATTTCATTTCATTTCTTTTCTTTCTTTTTTTTATCCACTACATGAGTTAGAATTCATCTCCCACTGTCTTTTCTGTATGTCTTTTAATTGTGAAAAAAAGAAACGAGAACTGGGTGAGGCAGTTGCGTATGTCACACTGGAAACGATATTCGGTGTTTCTGTCTACTACAAAAAAATGAAAAAAGGCATGCGACAGTTTTATAATGATAATTATTTTAGATGTTATTTGTAGTGGGTGCCTATATTTGAGTAGACGCTACGTTTTTTTTTTAGTAGTATTTTATTTTGTCTGCTGTCCTAAACATTCAAGAAATCTTATTAAAGAAAAATGCGCCCTCAACCGGATTCGAACCTGCGTCCTCCTTTACAAGTAAAACCGTCGTAGGATCAGTCATGCTTTAACCAATTCGCCTTCGAAGAACGTCATGATCAACCGACATTCTATTTGCTTTTGAGTACATCTTTCTCGTTCCGATCTTTAAAAGTTCATAACTGAAACATAAACAAAGCAATTTTTAAAGAAATAATGGATTTTTATTTATTAACCCGACATATTTTTGTTATATAGGAATAAAGTGTCGCTGCCGACAGTTGAGTTTGAACCTAGACCGCCAATGGCAATCCCATTACTGAAGTAAGTAGACCTCGTGACCATAGAGGAAACACATTAGGAAGTTGCATGACGGGAAATCGATCGTTAATATATCCTCTATTACTATTCGGATCTTCATTTCTATTCTATCCTCTATTACTATTCGGATCTTCATTTCTATTCTATCCTCTATTACTATACGGATCACTGTTCTCTACTCTATTCACTATACTATTTCTCTATTTGGATCACTATACGGATTACTGTTCGAGCGAGTATTATCCTGCAAGTACTATTAGTGCAAGATTATTGGAATGCGTCTGATATCATCACTGTTCAACGGCGTACTATCGTTGTAGCTGCGATTAAAAAGTCTCTACTACAACGAGCATTACGAAAGTAACAACGAGTATTTTTTGGCATCACAAAAGTGTCAGACGAGTGTTCGTTGACATCACAAAAAAAATTTTATTAGAAACGTTATTTTAGTGGATTCCCATATTTGAGTAGAGGCTCCGTTTATTTTATTTTGATTGTATTTTATTTTGTCTACCGGCCTGAACATTCGAAAAATCTTATTTAAAAAATGCGGCCGGATTTCGAACAAGATTTATCGAATGTTCAGGCCCCTAGATGAAATAACATATTTATTAAAAATTAACGAAGCATCTACTCAAATATGGGTATCCACAAAAAATAAAAGTAATAAACATACATTATTTCTTTAGAAAAGATGATTATGGAATATCAGTCCTCTTATATGGCCCTGAATGCTGGACAATGCTGGACAATCTTCTAGCAGATGAAGAGAAGACTTGAGGCAATGGAAACTTGTGGCAATGAAAATGCGGTTCCACAGAAGAATACAGAGAATGCCATGGACGGAACATCTGAGCAAGGAGGAAGTTTTAAGGAACAGGCAAACAAAAAGGACACTTGCACCGAAAGAGAAAATTACAAGTTATTGGAAACATAATAATAAGAAAGTCTTGGAGAATTTGAGACCCTTTGGATTTATTAAACGCAAAAAGGACTTGGGCACTGTATTCAATATATTGTGACTTTTTAAAATGTTAATAATTTTTCTTACTGCTAAAGTCGGAGAATTTGGTAGGCTGCTCTTCTTCACAAGCAGAAGGACTACAGTGTCTCCAACAAAATTACTGATTTGATCTGATCTTTTTTAACAAATAAAAGTAGTCTTGAACGGCCACGCTTTCAAACCGAATTTAAATTAATTGAAATGATTTTTCTAAATCGTTACAGTTTCTAAAACTCAGCCATTTTAACGAATCTGTCATCATATATACAGGGTGAACATCACTGTAAAAAAATACAGTTTTTCTTTTCGTTTGTATTTATTTCTGGAATGAGACCTATAGACTTTTTCCTGTATATAAGACATGTAAAATATTTAGAAGCTAATGTTTCGATAAAAAAAAAGAATATAAAGTTTTATCATTTTTGAAAACTGATAGCAGTAATGATTTTAAAACAAATGATACAGCTCAGCACAGTTGAATTGTCATAGTTTAATTCCAAGAGAACAAATTTAGTCTTCTGTTTAATTCTTAGTCTCAGCAGCCATGGAATTATCCGATTATTAAAGAACTTTAAAAATATGCAATTCATCCCAAGGAAACGAAGTATCTTTCTGGGCGTGTTACATTCTTGATAGCTATTTCTAACCGCAAATTCAGTTTCAATATAATGTTTAAAATGGCATAAATTTTAAAATCAGATCTTTCAAAACTAGGATAAAACTAATGAATAAAATTGCCAATACCGTAACACAGACAGCATATTATTCTGCAAATTACATTGACTAGTATCCTCATTTTTGTTGTTTTCATCATTACATTTCAGTTGAAGTGTTCTTTGAACATCATCAGGTGTATGCGACATTTGATGATCTTTGAATCATTCCTTCATCCCAAAAGAAACAATTTAGAAATCTAAGGAATAACAATTCTTTCTGCTGTCAAGATTTTTCGCTCTCTATTTTTTTTTTTTTTTGTTGTTGTTTTTGTTTTGTTTTTGATCTGATCCTCTCAAAAAAGGATTTATATCGATTATCCTACTGTAAACATTTTATCTTTTGATTTTCAATAAACAATTCTTTTTGTTTTTGCAGTTTGCGTACATATTCTCAGGAATTAAGGCCTATAGACTTTTAACGTCATATAAGACTTATGTAAAAGTTTTAGAATCTAATCTTTCGAAATAAAAAAAAGAAAAATACAAGGAAAATTAAGTTTTCTGATTTATTTTGAAAATGAATGAGGTAATGATTTTAGACAAATGATCCAGCTCAGCTCAGTTGCATGTTGTCATACTCATATTGCCATAATCATACTGCCGTACTCATATAACCATACTCATATTGCCATACTCATATTGTCATAATCATATTGCCATACTCATATTGCCATACTCATATTGTCATAATCAAATTGTTATAATCATATTGCCATACTCATATTGTCATACTCATATTGTCAAACTCATAGTTATAATCATATTTCCATACTCATATTGCCATACTCATAGTCATAATCATATTGTCATACTCATATTTTCATAATCATATTGTCATAATCATATTGTCATACTCATATTGTCATAATCATATTGCCATACTCACATCGTCATAATCATATTGTCATACTCATATTGTCATAATCATATTGCCATACTCACATCGTCATACTCATATTGTCATAATCATATTGCCATAATCATAGTCATAATCATATTGCCATACTCACATCGTCATAATCATATTGTCATAATCATATTGCCATACTCACATCGTCATACTCATATGGTCATACTCATCTACTGATCCAAGAGGACAAATTTAGCCTTCTGTTTATTTCTCAGTTGAAGCAAAAAATAACAAAGTGTTTGTCGTCAACATCGAGAGCCTGCTTCTTCTATTTGCTATGTTCCTTCAGAATGTTGACGATCATGGCTCTCCATAATTTCCTGCCCTTTCTTGTTCTTAATAAATTTTGTCTTTTTGTTATCTCTTCCAAACCCCGTTCTGCCATTCATTTACTCAAGTTAATTAGGTAGTGTATGCGTTGTTTTCCTCTGTCTGAAGGCAAGAAAGACTGTCCTGTGGATATCAAATTTCTCAAGCCCTCTTTCCTCATTATGTCTCCTATTCAATTTCAACTGTTTCTTTCTGGTATTAAGTATTAGTGTCCTATTTGTTTCTCTAAAAATTTGTCGTTGCTCATATATTCGGAACACGGTATTCTCAGCATCCTTCTGTAGAAACACATTGCTGTTGCTTCCAGTCCAACATTCACCGCCATATAGAAAAACTGACATTGAGTAATAGTTAAGTACTCTTTTTTTTTTC